CCTGCTTATCCTTTGGAAGAGGTCTTCTGAAGAGAAGAATATGCGGTTCTGCGGAAATAAAATGGAACAAAGCGTCAGTCTGTCACCTAAGTTTTGATTACAGGTATTTCTTTCACTTAGGAAGTCTTGAACAATAGTTGAGGCTTGCTGTCAAACAGTAAAAGATTAAGAAGTCAAGTCCATAGATATAGCCCCATGTGAAGTATTAACAGACCAACTTTGCAGTAACCTTACAACTGTCAAACAGGTGCTTTTGAAGGTTTCATACCAAATGTTGACAGTATTGACAGTATATCATAAACTTAAGATACTTACAGGAAGGAACTACAGGAAAAAATAGAGTATTTTTTAGTTAGTATTGGCACTAACTCTCTACATTAGGCTATTTGATGAGCTTTTTAACTGTAACAGACTAAACTGCTGGTGCTGTCCTTGTTAGGTACATAGTGTCAAGCATCAAAAGCTGACCTCACTTAATTGTAAACTCCTCCAAGAAATTCTGAAGTATCCAAGGTGCTCAGGTAAGGGAAACACTGAAAGGTTACGCTAATTTCTTCGCCTGGTTCTTCAAAAACTTGGAACTCCATGCTGCTGTAATTCATCTGTCAGTTACTTTTTAGTCAGGCTTGTCAATGGTCAATCCTGAATGGCTGTTTTCAGCACATCCGAGTTGGCAGAGTTTTTGGGCTTAAAACCAGTCTTTCAATTAATGAGGTGTGAAGTGCTGCTTTCAGTAGGCTGTATAACTACAGTTCAAACTATACCATAGATTTTTCAGAGCACTCATACAGGACCTAAGTATGCATCTAAGTCTAAGTGAGCATCTATTAAGGTTTTTGTACAAACAGTAGGTGTGTCAGCTTTATGATTTAAAGATATGCTGCTACATACAGTTTTGTTCAGTCACGGAGATACTAACATTATTCAAGAGCTCACAAGAAGTCTCTTTCTTTAGGCAGAGGTAGGAACAGTCTGGCATGTTTTGTCTACAGATAGAACACACATACCTAGGACAAGGCCAGCATTTTGCAGTTCTGGGAACAAGATATGAAGGTTTAAAGTAGAGGCTGTTATGTTGTCTTTGTTGACAAATGGCTAAAATAGCAAGGAGATAAAGAGGAGTCTAAACATCCAGTAGTGAATTCCAGCTGGATTCCACAGCAGGAGCAATTATGCACTACACACTGCAGTTGAGCACCAGGCAGTTGATATTTTGGACTCTTTTGTTCATGTCATTCTGTTCAGATGTGCTTACCTGGCTCATGGATCATATAGTGAACCCAGCCGAGACTTTGCTGAACACCAAGTCGTCTCCACTCCTCTTCAGACATTAGATGGGATTTTGGCACTTGTTTTGAAAGTTCTCTAGGCAGCATCACATGTCTGTAGAGGTTCAATTATTAAAAACACACTACATACATTAATGCCTGTGAACACTAGAGCATTTGCACATATTTACACTGAAAGATAGCAAGCAAGTTTAGTTATAAATACCCACATTCCCTATAATGAAGCCTAGGGTGCTGACTGATACCACTAACTTGATTATGAAACATCTGACCCAGAATCCAGTTCTAAAATCACTTTGTCTACTGAAGATTACATCTACAATGCAACTGTATATTGAAACAGTCAACCTACTTGCTAGAAGAGATTAATTCCCCTGAGTGCTCTAATCATGCTACTTGTATAGAAGTTTGTGTTCCTGGCAATTGGCTGTCATATCAGCTATTTTCAAAATAAGGACTTTGCACTTTTAGAACGATTGATAAAGTCAGTCTCGTCTGTATTTTGCATTTTGTAACCAGCAATATGTTTTCCACAGACTACAGTGTTGGTTTAGAAAGACAGAACACCAACACCACTTAAGCACCTGATCTGTCATCTGAGAAGAAATATACAGCCTGCTCTCCACATTTGCAAGTTCCTTTATCACCTAATAGAAAGCAAAGCATTCAATCTCGGGTTTGAGATCATAGGAGTCAACAGGTAAGAGGGACACTTAGATCTCTATACAGAGCAAAAAAACACCTGAGTTGTAGTAGCACTTTTCAAGAAAGTCTAGAGGACTGAACTTCAACAGTACCAGTTGTAATCCAGAACTGACTGCTGCTGTAACATAGCTTTGAAAACAAGCAGGTAGCACTGTGTTGAAGACTTTACAAACTACATTTTTTAGTACTATGTTGTGGCGTGGTTTTATGAACTGCCTTTAAAGTATTAAACAAAACGCAGGCTTCATCCACATTCAGAGCTGGAATTGAGACAGTAAAAGATGTTACTTTCAACTGTGTAGAGCATTCTGAACGCAAGGTTTCAGTTCCCTGCTTCAGCTTCCTTCAGCCTCTAAGCGAGCGAGGCAGCACAGCCCAGGCCAGCCCGGAGGGCCTCAGCCCTCCTCCACTGGGGAGGCGCCGCCGCTGCTCCCCC